AATCGGATTTGTGGAGAAGGAGAGGCTGGAGGATACGCTGGTCATTATCTTTTTTCTTTAGACCTGGCCCAAAACGACGTCGTTTTGGCCAGGTCATTTAAAAATATTCCCTGGGCCAAAACGACGTCGTTTTGCCCAGGTTGTTTTAAAAAAAAAAGATGCGCGCCAGCAGCCTCGCCTCCTTCTTCTTCAGCTGTTCTGTTTTCTTCTTTCAAGCATTCCGTCGACCACGTGGTGTGCAGCTCCAAGAGTTCGCGCCAGCAGCTCCAAGGGACCTCCAAGGCTATTTCCATGGCTTCCAAGAGGTCGTCCGACCCCGACGACCCCACTGTGGCTCCGCCTCTGGCTACCATGGCAGCATCCTCAAAGGAAATTTGACTGAGAATTCAAACTTCTACATGCTCTAAAATGTCAAAATTTAGACCTCGAAGCCAGAATGCAAAACTTCGCCCAAACTTCAACATGCCAAAGTTCAAATCCTGAACCTTAAAAAAAAAAAAAAAAAAAAAAAAAAAAAAAGCTTTATTACCTAGGCCCAATATGCTTGGACTTTATATAAACTTGGGTCTTTTCTGTCTTTGTTATTTTCTCAACCCAGCCCAAGGTTCTTTTGGATCAGATCCCACAAATGTATCTGGAAGTGCAACAATTTGCCAGATGGGGGTCTAAATATTTTCCCATAATGCCTAGCTGTGTTCTAGACTTGGAAGTTAGAAGTATGGAGTTTGGTATATACATCTTTTATTCTTGTAACTTATGATGTTTCTTTAAAATCAAAATCATACAGTCCACAGGCAAGGTATATTTAAGCAGAAATTATAATCAAGGGACTGGCGGGGGCTAATCTCGCCTAATCCTTTAGTTTATTTAAAAAAGCAAGGAAGAAATTAAACCATTGTATTTGTATGAGCATGCCACCGTTCTAATCAATTGTTTTCATGATGTAGAAGCATCTCAACAACTTGACTCATTGTAGGTCTTGCATCTTTGTCTTCCTCTAAGCATTGAAGAGCCACTTTAACAAGAATTTCAAGTCTACCTTGTTCATAATCATCTCCCATTTGGCTCTCTGCATTTGCAAATGCTCCATTCATCTTCTCCCTCACCCATGTAACCATCATCTTTTCATGTGTCTCCTCTCCATCTTCTATTGCTTGAACAATTTCTGCGGGGCTCTTTCCAGTCAGCATCTCCAACACCACAATCCCATAGCTGTAAACATCCACTTTGGAAGTGATGCGCATATTCTGAACCCACTCCGGCGCTATGTAACCTCTGGTTCCCCTGATCCTTGAAAATCTCAAATTGCTCTGTTCACCTCTGTTTAGTAGCTTGGAAAGTCCAAAATCTGCAACCTTTGGATTATAATTAGAGTCTAGAAGTATGTTCTGAGGCTTTACATCACCGTGCAAAACCCATTCCAAGCATTCTTCATGTAAATAAGCCAGACCTTTTGCTGTCCCCACAGCAATTTCAAACTTTTGCTTCCAATCAAGCACATTGGAAGATAACTTTTCTGCCAAGGAACCATGCTCCATATACTCATATACCAAGAGCCTATGCATTTCTTCCACACAATATCCCCACATCTCTATCAAATTCATGTGGTACAACTTCCCTATGAGGCTCACTTCTGCAAGGAACTCTGCTTCCCCCTGGTTAGCACCATTCAGTTGCTTGATTGCTGCAACTCTTTGATCAGACAATAAGCCTTTGTATACAGTTCCTCCCCCACCTCTTCCAATCACTTCTATGAAACCTCGTGTGGCCTTTTTCAACTCCGAGTAACTAAATCATCTAAATCCAGTTGCAGCATGATGGTATCCTTGCATAACCACATCTGAATCTTCTCGGCCAGTTCTTCTACTCATAAAATACCAAACAAGAAAGACACAAACAATCTCAGCTACTCCCACCGCATATGCAAATTTAAGCATAAACTTAACAGAACCATTTGGACCACTTTTTTCGTGCGTTCTGTCAAGTGATCTTGTGAGTTTGTCTGAGCACACATAATTGGATTCTTCAGCTGAAGCATTATAGGAGGAAAGGATGGATTTGGGTAGTTTCAAGTAGAGGTCTCCATCAAAACCAGGCGTGCGGCGTCCATTTTCCAATTGAGCCTTAAGGAAACAATTTTTCCGAGGGTTATATTTGTATTGGAAACCTGCGCAGTTGCACAATTCCAAGCACAAAACTCTGCACCTTTCTAAGGTGTAATTTGAATAGAAACGGAAATCATAGCCATAGAATTCAACATGAGGAAGATGCATAAAACCGAACGCATCCCGAGCAGCAGTACTATTGTTGCAGGACCAGGACAGATTGAAATGATCACCTGCAGGTTGAGGTTGACACCCATAAGACCAATCAATTTTGTTCCTCATCTCATATCCTGGAAGACATGAGCATTTCCTACCAAAACTAGGGACATGGCTGCACAAACTAGTAGCCCCGCAAATTCCATGAATTCTGCATTGTTCCGAAATGGCTTGCCATGAAACAACCCATGTACCTCCTTGCTGTGCTCGGCTGTATAATCGGACATTACCATCAGCATCCATCTTTAGTATTCTCTGCAACTTTGCACCATAATCCGCTGACGAAATGCTAAAATTGTCCGATGCACTTAAGACTGCCAAATGATCAAACATGGCAATTCTAGAGTTGTTGTATGTGGACCTCCCTTCCCTGCTTACACGCCAAGGGTCAGGCCAGTAAATGCTCGAAAGCTCGGGGCCATTGTAGAGAAGGCGGAGAGTGTTTTCATTGTCGAAAGAAAAAGAGTAGAAGCCAGAGGAATAGTTGGTGGTGAGGCTTCTTGAAGAGATAAGCTTTGTGTTTCTGGTGAGTGGTTGTTGAGGTAAAAGGGTCTTTGTTGGTGAAGCAAAGCTTTCCCACAAAGCAAGACCTTGCAGAGTGAGGAGGACAAGATTGCCATTGTCATGAAGAAGTAATTTGGTGAATGAATTGGAAACAGTGTTGGAAGACCAGATGGTGGATTTGCCAGCATCTGTTAGAATAAGATTACCATTCTTTTGCAAGATGAGCTTGGAGCCCCTACCGTTGACCGGCTGGTCACGGTTTGACAGCCAAACCACGGTGAGGTTGTGAGTTGGGGATGGCTCTGTGAACCATATTGCAAAGGAATATGCATTTTCACCCACTTGAAAAAACCCAGCTGAAAACATGCCATTTGATGAAGTCAAGGTATCAGCTGGGTTTTCCACTGAAAGAGATGAGCCTGCGCTCAAATCAGTATAGGATGCTGATGAAACTGCCAAAGGAGAAAATAGTGCCAGAGAAAGAAGGACAAGGAAGAAGCATGTTGCAGCCATGAATTTAATGGAAATCAGAAGCAACCATCAACCATGGTCAAAAGTTGTGTGCATATATAAGACAATTAGGGTTTAGGGTTACTTGCATGAAGGACCGCACGTCACGCTGTAATTTCAATAAAGAAAATTTTTGACGTTCACTTATTCTACTCTACCCACCAATTATTATTATTATTTTTAAATTCACAAGTCGCACACTTCAGAAAAACTGGTCTTAGACGTCGCAATGGAATTTCCCCAAGGTCGGGAGTGCCACCATGAAGGCACCTAACAACTCCCCTATAGAAACAAAAATAAACTAGCAATACCAATAAAAATAAAAATTTAAAATGACTCATCGTGTTAGAAGGGAAAGGGAAATTGACGATGACCTTTAAGAACAAGGCCTGAATACATCAGAAAACTAGAATCCACTAGGAATTTGAGTAAAACCTGAAGATTTATTGAACGAATAATGATCCGGAGACATGCTAATGGGTCCCTTCAACCCTAGGCAGACTAGGAAATCATAATTGGAAAAAGAAAAAAAGGGAACATACAAAAATTTCCAATAATATCCAAAAAAATTTAAATGCTAAAAAGTCAAAGCAAACGATGAAATTTGACTAACAAAAAGCCCATATGTCACAACAAAGTGGTAAGTTGCATTCATCTCGGCATCCTCTTTGAAACGACTGGTCATGAGCCCAATTTCGAACTCGAGGCCCAAACTTGCATATGTTGGATTTTTCTTCTGTAAGGCTTGTTTATCCATTTGCTCGATCAGTTTCAGCTCAACCATATGCTCTAATCAATAAATAGTTTTTTATTTATTTTATATTATATAACAAGGTGCTGATTTTTCCACTCCTTTTTTGTTCACTTAGGTCATCTCTAACCCAAGAGGCTAAACCCAAAATATTCAAAATTATTGCCCAAAATCTCTCCCAACCTAAGAAAGTGAAGGGGCCAAAATTTGGGAAAATCCAAACTTGGACCTAAATACTGAAAACTATTCAGTGGAGCCTACCAACAGATGGCACAACCCATGTGCATAAGAAAAGACACTGGGGCTTGCACTGGTGGCTTTGTCCACTGGCTTGACGCAACACATGCCGCATGTCGGCTTTGCTGAAGTTGCCATTGCAATTCAAATGTCTTTAAAAAAAATATATAATAGTAACTTTAAAAAAGAGATTGGGACCCGAGCTACTGGTGTTATTCCAGCTTAAGTTGCCGTTGCAATTCCAATTTCCTTTAAAAAAAAATTTCTAATAGTAACTTTAAATCAACGATCTAGATTAAATTTAAGCTATTTTAATGGTTAAAAAAAAGATCCAACGACTGAAATTTAAATCTAACGGTCAAAATAATATTTTAAATTAATCCAAATAAGACCCAACCCCAAAACTCACTCCAAACTATATAAATACTCACTCATTTCTCAATTAATCTACCAAAAATATTTTTTCTATTTCTCAATCTATTTTTCCTTTGTCAATTTCATCAATCTCCTTTCATTCTCATACTTTCATTTCTCAATTAATCTACCAAAATTAAATTCATTGAATTTCAAAATTTTTTTAGGTCAAATTGTTCAAAAAATTAAATTATGACGTTATTTAAAAAGATTAAATGAAGAAAAGTTTTCCATAAAAAAAAAACGACTTGGGGCCAGGCAAAACCCAAATAGTTAATTTTTAGAGGGGGAAAATTTGGGTTTAGCTCCTCATGGGTTGGAAAAGGCCTTACATTCCCCTCTGTTTTAATTTTTTTTACTATCACACACAAGGGAGTGTAAGTGTAAAAAAGATGAGTGAGAACATACAATTGCCAACAAAATGAGTGTAAGTGAGGAGTGGGCAAATTAGCTCCCATCCCCCTTCCAATCTCTTATGTGAAACTTTGTGTGGCCTTTTTCAACTCAAAGTAACTGAATTTTCTGAATCCAGTGGCAGCATGGATGTAACCTTAAGCAACCACGTCTGAATCTTCTCAAACCACACAATAAAGATACAAAAAGTCTCAACCCCTCCCAATCCAAATGTATCTCCACTTCACCCAATATATGTTGTCCACAAGTTAGGCTTGAAAAATTGCTACACGTACGAGGACGTGTAAGGAGTTGAGTTACTCCCCTAATTTCCAATTTGAGTGAAACTTCAACTTCCTTCATGATTAGTGTGTTTCATCAGACAATCCAGGTGTACCCACTAGGGTGGGCTCGGTTTAGTTTGATTTGATGTTGAGCCAAAATCGTATGCCGGAGTCTTAGTAATCGGAACAAGCAGTGAGGTGTGGTTTGGTTTTGGTTTTCATGTTGAAGGGAGGCATGGTTCGAAACTTCTTACCTCCAACTTTCCCTAATTATTAACATATTTACACCATCGGTCTTATTTAGGTGAACCGGTAGTTTGATGATTTGCAAATTGGAAACCATACTGAGTTGATCAGTTTGGTTGAGTTCTCCACCGAAATTAAATAATTTTTTTAGTAAATTTGGCTTACACCCTTCAAATTCAATTTACTGTACCTACAACCCTTCACTTTTTGTTCCTATAAATAATACCCAATTTGTATAAGTAAATCCATGACTAGGATCCAACTCGGTAAGTTACCTAATTAAGCATAAAATATGATTTATTGTACTTTTCAGATTCCAGAAATACCCCCAACTAAGCCATTATTGCATTTTGTATATTAATGTAGGAATCAATATAGAAACAATTTTTAATTGGATTGTATATAATGACAGATGTTGAATTTGAAAAGATCTCCAAATGGTTGTAGGAATTAATTTTGAAATATTTTTTTAAAAATTTAACAGTAAATTCAAATTTAGGTAATCTGTTTGTTTAATAAAATATTTATGTTATTTTCTTTTTCTGAATTATACATGACTAATAATCCACTTTATAATTGTTTATGAATAAAACTGTACATACTAATTATGTTGAAAAAATAATGTACCTATT